TATTTATTTAAATAGGTTTTCTATCCCTTGCTCTCTCTCTTCTCTTTCTGGTATCCCCATGATGCAAATATTTGTACACTTGATGATGTCCCAAGGCCCTTTAAACTATCCTCATTTTTTATAAGTATCGCGTGCTAACCAATTGCGCCACTAGAGCTCCTATCCTCATTTTTAATTCTTTTTATCTTTTTGCTGTTCTGATTGGTTGTTTTCTGCTACCTTGTCTTCCAAGCAATTGATTTGATCCTCTGCTTCTTCTAATCTACTGTTGATTTACTATAATGTATTCATCATTTCAGTTATTGTATTATTCATGTCTGTTTCTATCTCTTTAACTTCTTACTGAGTTAATCTATGTTTCCCTTAAGTTCTTTGAGCATTCTTATAACCAGTGTCTTGAACTCTGCATGTGGTAGGTTGCTTTCATCCATTTTGTTTACTTAATTCTTGGGGGGTTTTGTTCTGTTCTTTTACTTGTTACATATGTCTTTGTCTCCTCATTTTGGCTGCTTCCCTGTGTATGTTTCTATGTATTAGGTAGATCTGCTCACAGTCCTTGCAGTGTTGCCTTATGTAGTAGGTATCCTGTAATGGCAGTCTGGTCACCTGAGCCAGGTGCTCCAGGGATGTCCCTTGTGTGTATTATGTGTGTCCTCCTGTTGTATTTGAACCTTGATTGCTGTTGGCACATCAGTTGGTGGGATTGACTCTCAGACAAATTGGCTGTGAGGACTGCTCATGACTGCAGCAGGCGAGTTGCTATGTGGAAGCTAACCTCACAGAGCTGGATTTTCTTTAGTGGGGCTTTGATGTCTCCTGAGTCCACCCTTTAGGAGTATCATTTGTGGAGCTAATTTTGTGGTGCTCTAGTATGGTCTGAAGCTGGTAACTCTGTGTGTTGGTTTTGGGGCATTTAGGGAGGGGCTCTGGTACCAGCCAAGATTAGTCACTGCCTATGCCTGGCCTGGGGCCTTCTGCTAGGAGCTACAAAGTGATCTGCAGTTGGTAATTACCTATGTTGGGTTTGGAAGCAGTTGGAAGAGACTATGCTGCAAATTGAGGTTAGCTACCAGTAGAGCTGGGCTTGGCGTCACTTAGCAAGAGGTACAGCACATTCCGAGGCCAGTTGCTGCTTGTTTGGGGTTTGTGGATCTTTGAGAGTTTTTGTTTGTTTGTTTGTTTGTTTGTTTGTTTGTTTATATTTCATTGTTGGTAATCTTCAGCCAAGGATATTTTTCCATTGATTTTTAGAGAGTGGAATGGAGGGAGGGAGGGAGAGAGAGAGAGAGAGAGAGACAATGTGAGAAAGACACATTGATTGGTTACCTTCCTCACTTGCACTCACTCTGACCAGGGCCGTGAATCAAGCCTGAAACTGAGGTACATGCCCTTGCACTGAATCGAACGCAGGACCCTTAGTCCACAGGCTGATGTTCTATCCACTGAGCCAAACCAGTTATGGCCCTTTGCAAGGTTTTAAGAAAGTTTGTGTTGTGGGCTGTGGAAGGTTGGTGGCTTGTGAGAAAGTGCTGCTGAAAGGGTTCAAATTGGCGCAGGAGTTGGGTGGGGTGGGGTCTCAGGAAATCTCTAGGGTGGAGTGAGAGGTGTTAGCCAGGTTTATGAGAGTCAGATATGGTATCCACCCACCTGCAGCTTCAGGGTCGGTAGGAGGCGGGGTGGTTAACAAAGAAACAACGGTGCCTGCTAGCACTTCTGTCCAGAGAGAGGTGCTTCTGTAGCTCTCACCCTGAAGCTAGACAATTCAGTTCCTCCCTATATGTCCCTAGAGCTTTGTGAGCTGTTTCCCTTCATTGGAGCTTAGGGTGAGTATTTATGACTGAGTGAGTCTGTGCTTGGGCTCCTTAAGAGGACAAATGGGTCTACAGCAGCCCTCCTTCTCATCCGCATAGAATCCACACTGATTTTCACAGCCTGATGTTGTGGGGACACTTCTTTCTAGCAATGGTGCTCTGGGCTTGAGGACTTGGTGTGTGCCTGGGACCCCTTCCTCCTCAGGGTTGGGGGGACCTCCACAACTGAGATAGCCCTCCCAATTCTTAACCACCACATATGGGTGTGGGACCAGTCCATTTCCCATCTCTGCCCCTCCTACCAGTCTCAATGTGGCTTCTTTTTTACATCCTTAGGTATAGTTCTGTTCAACTAGTCTTCAGGTGGCTCTCAAGGGTGGTTGTTCTATAATTAGTTGCAATTTTGATGTGGTCATGGGTACTCACTGGCAAGGGTTTGGGGTGATGGGAAATGGTAAGTTAGTGAGTGTAAGAGAACAACTTCTCCAATGAAAATGCAAAACAGATCCTCCCAGAACTCTGTCAAGATGGAGTAGGTAAATGCTGAGCTCACCTTCTCTCAAGGAGGCCTCTTTGGTTATAGAAACTATTAGTAGTAGGCATTACTAAGTCTCTGGTAGGTCCATGTTTCTCATTGCATAAATAGGGAAATTGAGGCACAGAAATGGGAAGGGACTTTTTAGGATCACAAAGACATTAGTAGAGCCAGAAGCAGAACTCAAGTCTCATGCCTCCCAGTCCAGTGATCTTTCTTAATCCAGTGCTAGCAGGCTTTAGCTATGCCTAGATTCTTTCTTCCATGACCTTCTTTCTATCCCTCTTAACTTTTTACTCCCAATTGTATGCTAATTTGTTTTTGATCATATCTTAGTATTTCTCATCCATAAACTTAAATTCTAGGTTGCTGTCAAGTTTAGAGAAAACTCTATTCCAGCTTCTAGGGAGCTCCTACATCTCTGCTCCCATGGAACATGAAATTAGGAGACCTGGGGTCTAGTGTCAGCTCTGCTAAATATTAAATGTACTAGTGGCCTACTGCACGGGGAGAGGGGGGTGTCCTTCAGCTCGGTCTGCACCTTCTCCAATCTGGGACCCCTTGGTGGATGTCCCTCTCACAATCCGGGACCACTGGCTCCTAATCACTCACCTGCCTGCCTGCCTGATTGCCCCTAACTGCTCCCCTTCTGGCCTGATTGAAGTCTAACTGCTCCCTTGCCGGCCTGATTGTCCCTAACTGCCCTCCCCTGCTGGCCTGATTGCCCCCAAGGCTTTTATTAGTATCGATAATATACACATTCAAATGTACAGATGTATCAGGCCAGCAGGGAAGGCCTATCGTGCAAGAGTAGGCCTTCTTTCCCCCTGCTGCCAACACTGGCTTCCCTCTGGCACCCGGGAGGGGCTCCCCTTGCAGCCCTGGCTTTGTCCGGAAGGATGTCTGGTCTAATTAACATATTATGCTTTTATTATTATAGATATATAAAATCTCAGGGCAGTTGCTTGAAATTTCTTGAAGCAAACAATAGAAATCAATTGCAAAGTTCTGAGAATCCCAGAACGTCTCAACTCTGATGGCATTATATTGCTAGGTCAAAGTCCTTGACCTGCCCAAACTGCAGTTTCCATTCTGCATTACCTGTACTCCTTGCTCACCTTTGCTTGTTCCAGAACGGCAGCTTGCCGATAATTGTCAAGGTCTCCTAGAAAGTGCCTAGACTGGAGTGGCATCCACTTTCCTTTGAAGATGCACACATA